TTGATCTTTTAGCGATGTGGGTGTGTGCCAAAGGATGCTATTGAAAACCGTCTGCTAAATAAATACAAAATCCGTGACGACGACAGTGGTCAATTGGAGACGAAAGTCTGCATTTTATCTGTTCACTGTAAGTTGTTGTGAGTTTGTATAAAGAATACTTACCATAAAATGTACCTCGCTCAATGGGTCATTTTATACAGATTTGCAGGACATGGTACTGAGACTTTTTCCCAGAAAACAAACTGAACAATTAACGACTTTGCGAAATTACAGAAAACCGCGAGATTTGATCCTGCAGCTCCACCTGAGTGATATCATACGGTAAGCTTTCTAAAACATTTCAGGGGATGCGAGTACGCTGACGTTGCAAATATGCGTGTCTGCATCTTCCTTTCCATTATAATCCAGCGAGTAACTGTGCCACGGGGGATGAGTGCTTATACGCTAGCCTCGGTTACTTTAGATATCAGTTCACATGCGCCTCCCTGCGCGTCGTCTGAATGATGCCATATGGTAAGCCTTCTAAAAATTTCAGTAGATGCGAGTACGCTGACTTTACAAATACCACGTATTCGCATCTTCCTTACCACTTTAATCCAGCGAGGGGGAGGAGTCCTCAAACGACAGCCTCGGGTACTTCAGATATCAGTTCACATGCGCCTCCCTGTGCGTGTTTCAAGCCCTGCTTGCGCCCTCTTTATTATCTTTAATCTAGCGATTGGTTAAATAGACTTGCTAATGCTGTTGTTCGGACGATGTGGAACTCCGTCGGTTCCACTACCGTGGTCACGCACGGCTAATCAACACGCGGTTCCTTCCGTGGCCTTCCAGTTATGATTGCGCCCACGTATTCGCTTAATCCAGCGGATGACTAAGTTAGGAATGCTAACTAATATTGTTTTAGCCAGCTACCCATGTGGTGTAAATCCAGTGGGACTGCAGAATCAAACCTCGCCAATTTTATTATTAAATTATTAGAAGTCAGTACAAGTTTCACGTTTGCAATGCGTCAACAAAGAATTTTTCAGATTTACCCTTTGATTTACCCTGATTTTGCATTTTTGGAGTGCGTGAGGGCAACTGATAATTAAAGTCATTTGTGCGAGTTGCCAGAATCGGAAAGAGTTATAATATCAGCATTAGATGGCAGCATTAAGGAAGTGCTTACGATTGTCTACACAACGTTTCTAAAATTCTAAATTCGTCTTCCTGACGAAAAGAAACTAACTGACCTCTACATGCAGCACTTCACAACGCGGAAATACAGGTTACCGTTAACCGTTAACCCTAACGACAACCCTAACCCTAACTCTAGCCGAAATAATAAAGGAAACCGTATCCCTTAGAGATAGCCGTAATTGAGAAGTATAACCGTATTACTGGAACCTAGTCGTACACTCAAACCCTAACCATAACCCGAAAACCTAAGCCTAAAGGCATAACCATAACCGGAAAATCGGAAACCATTAACCGGCACCCTAATCCTAAACACAAACGTAAAACAGAAGCCAAATGTGTCAGATGTGATTATGGAGCCCCACAAAATTACCCCACTAAACAAACCCCCCCGCCACCTATAATGCAGTCCGGGCTTCCAACTGGGATCTAGCCAGGTTTTCTCTGCACCCTGTCTGCGTCCATTTTTTTCGGATTACGATAACCGTTGCAGCACTATTCACACACTTTCGAAGACCGGGTTTCAGCATTATAATGGGCTTGATTGATAAAAATCCGGCTCCCATTGTGTGGAAATCCCTTTACTCCCTTCGCAGATATTATTGTGGTTGGACTGCCGTACGATGAACAGTTACGTATTTTAACTAAGGCAGATGCCGAGAAGTTTAATTAAAGCCCTCTGATCCAGTTTAAGCATTGAGATAATTATACATTAGCGTCCAAACAGATGCCTTATATTTAATCCACTCTGTTCTTCTCGGGAAGGAGCTGCGTACTAAGTTGCGCTGATCTAGTGCAATTTCAGTGGAGCCATCTTAACCAGTTAAATCTGGCCGAAAATTTCCGACGGAAAAGCATTAGTTAAATTACGCATATTGGGTCTTATAACTGAAGACCCCGGTATGCATACAGTAGGTGTTTTAAAAACCTGCAGTAAGGCGGATATCTTTTAAAACCAACGATTCCTCATGATTAATATACATTTTTCGCTTTTAAATTTCCTCAGAAAGTAACCACGAACTTCGAGTAGATCAGTATATGCTAGGTCTATAGGCAAAGACCGAAATTTAATGCATGAATATTTGGACCAAAGTCCATCAGCCACAGCCGTAACCGCGTAACATTCATTAACAGCCGACAGGCAGCTAGTAGTATATTTTAGGGTAAGTGGATACCATACTAACAGCACAGGTACTAGCCAACAGCCCATACAAGCGCGTTTCGCAGATATTCTGCCGCTGCATGGCGCAGCTGCGAGGTGTTCGGCTCGTCAGTGTGTCCCCCAGCACTTCCCAGCATACCTTGAAGTACACTGCTAGCTGCCCGTCGGCAGTTAATTAATATTGCGTGGTTACCCGCAGTAGCTGATGAACTTCGGCTCAAATATTCACACCTCAGATTTCGGTCTGTTCCTAACACCTTGGAATATACTGACTTACTCCATGTTCGCGGTTAATTTCTAAGGAAATTAAAAAGGGACAATTTATAAATTGGAGAATGCTAAGAGACCCATTGACGAGCCGAAAACCTTGCAACTGCGCCATGCAGCGGCATAATATCTGCGAAACGCGCTTGTATGGGCTTTCGGCTAGTATCTGTACTGTTAGTATGCTACCACCTTACCCTGAAGTAATTTACTTTACTTGAAAGGTTACTTTTTTGATATCAGTAAATTTCGCGACGGCGTACCAAATTTTACGCAACCCTTTACAGCAGGAATAACAGGTTGGAAAATAGACAAACTCCCAAGTAATCAATAAAAGAAAAAATGCACATCTTTCAGCTGGAGATAGGAAGCGGGTTCAAGAAGTCTTACCCTGACCGTGAGTAGTTAACCATGCCCTTACGTACCCTCCTTCCTATCTACAGTACGCACAGTTGCACTCTAGCATCACCGAGGGCCATTTGGTTAATATTAATAACTGTTGTTATCAAAAAATGCCCTTTACATCCAAAGAGAAGCAATTCCTCTACTTGTTTTCTACAATGGTATTACCAGAATCGTCTAATAAACCGTCTTTTGTACGCTGTAGTGTAAAAACTTGCGGAATGCCTACGTGAGTTAGTGGGGACATGCAGCCAAACCAGCTTTTTGATGTTCTCCTTAATCAAAGTTACGCAACATTTTCATGAAATCATTCGGTGTTTCGACGCCGACATCTAAACCTACGAGGAAGAAACTAAACACTCATCAACTTGCAGTGTTTTTACGGAGCTTTAAAGCTGTTAATACATAAAATACCATAAAATCGATATTTGCATCACCGCCGCACTTAACTTGTTTCTTCACACTTGTGAAATGAATGAACAAAGACTCATCTGGAGAAGACCGAGCAACTGGGAAAAAAATTAATGAAATAAAAATGAATTTCCATTGTTTCCTTGACAAACACATCTCGAGACTAATCTCTAATTCGTCCTTATTCTTTATGTTTACAAAACTTCCTAGCTTAAGTGGAATTTCTAACAGGGTTAATTTACTCTTTCATTGTTCTGCCCTCTCATGTCTGAAGAAGGGTTTGCTTCGTTCTGTAGTTTCTAAAAGTCTCGGTGTCCGCAAATGGTTTGACAAACAGTCACTTGTAAATGTCCTTCAAGAAAGCCCAACTTAAAGCAAATGAAGGTCCCAAAGCGTCTTTTAATCTAACATAAATTCAGTAAAACAGTCCACCGTTTTAAATGGGGTTGCCATTTTCTTCCGGCGCAATACAGCCTATCAGAACTAACACTTCAACAGTGGGTAAATACTGAGAGCAGGTCGAACATATACGCGTACAGTGACTCTAAGATGGGCAACTGGCTCCACCCAAGGATTAATATTCGCGTTAAAAATAATTCGTAGCATTTCCGAGTGCGATAGTCGGCTTAAAAAGAGAGCATTTCGTCGGGTACGGGCGACGCTGTATTGTATGGCCCTTAAATAAAGGGCTAAAGAGTGGGATATCGAAAAACTACCCCTGTTGGTGTGGTGCTGAACTAAGCATTCACAAGCGTACAGAAAAATGCCAATTAAGGGATTGTAATCAGAGTGAATGCAACGGCTCTTCTATCAGAATTTTGCAGTTAGAACCGCTCAGTTCTTCCATGTGTAAAAGCGGTAAACCAGTATTTCTCAAGTACGCTGTAACATTACAGAACGGTCTTCTAAGTATAGACTATGGAACTTGCCTTTAGTAATGTTTTCAGCTGACTGATGCACGGAAAACGTTTTGCAGCATTCTCAAGATGAAAATCCTTGCGTGCTGTGTCGAGCAAGCCAGGCTGTTACTATGTGACAGTTTGAATGACAACCCATCTTTTGCGAATTTTATATTCAGGGGCTCGTGACAACTGAGGCCCAACGTGACGTCCCTGCTCGAGTGGTGTGGTTTCAGCCTTTCTAACTGTAGAAATGCGGCGTGTCGCAGTATATTTAAGTCCGCGATGGTCATCGTTGATTTATTGAATGGGCGTTTTTCAATAGCGCGAACGTGATAGAGCATGCACTAGATGCTAACATTTCAATTGCCATGAAATACGAATTATCTGTTACAGAGATGCGCCTATTTCGGTGAACGCACAACATAGTTAATGTTTTGATCGCAACCGCCGAGTGAATGAGCCGTAAATTAACTGGTAGAGCGCTGGAAGTCCCAAAGGAGTTCAGAGACGCTACAATCGTGCATCTATACAAACGTAGGGGAAATCGCCAGTTCTGCGACAACCACCGGGACAACTCCTTGCTGAACATCGCCGGGAAAATTTTCGTTTGCGCCCTCCTCAACCGCCTGAATAGTCACCTGTAAAGCCAGTGCGGCTTCCGCCGTCATCGTGGCACCACGGACATGATCTTTGCTGCCCACCAACTTCAGGAGAAATGTCAAGGGATGCAAACCCACGTGTATTCTTCCTTCGTAGATCTGACGACAGCCTTCGACATGGGGAATCGTGACGTACCGCGGAGAATCATGCAGAACTTCCGCTGTCGCAAACGATTCACTCAGATGGCGCGTCAGCTTCATGATGGCACGATGGCACGCGTCACGGACAATGGAACTGTCTCTCAGACATTCGAAATGACCCACGGAGTGACGCAGGGCTGCGTCCTCGCACCTACCCTCTTAAGTCTTATGTTCTCTGGCATGCTGATGGACGCCTACCGTGACGAAAGCCCCAGGATCCGCATCACCTATAGGATGGACGGCCGCCTCCTCAACCACAGGCGGATGCACTTCTGGTCGCGTACATCCACAACCACCGTCCACGAACTTCGCTTCGCTGACGACTGCGTTCCCAACGCAACTACTGAAGAGGACATGCATAGGAGCACGAACGGCTTGGTCGCAGTCTACAGCAACTTCGGCCTATTCATCAATATGGAAAAGACGGTGGTTATGCATCAACCGGCAGCCAACGGATCAGCCTGGCCAACTGAGGAGATCTCGCTCGAGACCGACCGACCTGGGGGGGGGCTGTGAAGAAGGGCGGAGCGATCTACGAGGCCAGTCTCATTGTCGTCACGACAGACAAACAACACACAAACCAACAACCACCAACACCACCACCGCCGACACCAGTGGTGAGGACCTAGTTTATATCTGTCCTCATAGCGACCGCACCCTCACTCCACACATCGACCCGGTGGGTCACATGCGTATGTTATCGCACAGACTGGCGAACCAGTGCCTGGGGCACTAACCTACTCCTGCTGCATACGCCTCCATGCTTCGTTCTGCCATCGCACATTCATGCGTCGCATGGGCCTATTCGACCACATGCGTATCCACGAGAGCGGAATTGACCCCAATCTTTACACGCCTGACATATCCGTCACACCATGCCTAGACCCGCCCTCACTCCGCCGCCTTACGCGCACACCGCCACCAGCTCCATTACACCCAATGCATCCTCCGCACCCATAAAGCTGGGCCCTACTCAAACTCCGTCGCCCAGCGCGCCCGCCATCCCCACCATCTCCGTAGCTGATACTGACACCGCCGACTTTCCATGTCCACACTGTCCCCGTGCATACATCACACGCATCGACCCGGTCGGTCACTGGCGTATGTTATCGCACATACTGGCGAATCAGTGGCTGGAGCACCAACCCACACTCACCGCATCCGCCTCCAGTGTCCACATTTCACTTGCAATTTTATTTATCTCATGGGACTATTAGACCACATGCTTTTCCGCGAAAACCTGCGGTAGACAACCGCCGGCTGCTCCACACCATTCCCTCACCGCACATCAACATCACCCTGCGCAAGCACCCAACTGCCACCTCCCACGCAAGTGGGAAGTGTGCGTATCGGCTCCTTTACCAGGCGGCCTCCTTGCATGTGTGGTCGGAATCTGAGATGAAGACGGCTCGTCGTGCGCCGTGGCTCGGAAGACAGACGACTGATGCCCCGATTCAGTCCACGCAGTCTGCCCAGTTGCGTGTGTGTGGAATGGCGGACTGGTGGGCTGGGAGCCAGGCTGTCACGGCGCCTTCTAAAGAACTTATTTTCGGCTGCATGCAAAATCTTTACTCTGCAAAAATGACTACTTAAGTGGTATGTAATTTTCTCATTGATTTTCGATGCCCTTAAAAATTCAATTATATTTCATAGAAAACATGCATAAAAAGATTCATTCTGTTACTTATTCGGTAGAAAATCACGTCCTCTTCCAATTTCATACTCAAAAGAAGAGTATAATTCGGTTTTAAAAAAGTTTATAATTGTGAGATCTTTTAATACCGTTAAAAGGCGGTTCCTGAAACATCATGTATCTGCATTTACGAATGTGGCTTGTAAAGTTAGCAATATTGCTCAAATCCACTGCTTAATTTTATGAACCCCATATGGTCTCCTCTTAACACCGTAGAGAAATGCATGGTTTTCCGTACACGGAAAATATACAACTTGTAGTTTTGAAACCCGGAAAGCAAGTGTAACAGCAGGTCGGGTTCAAAATTATTCGGGAAGTGGAAAAGTTTTTTAAAACCGATTTATACTCTACTTTTGAGTATGAAATTAAAAGACGACGTGATTTTCTACCGAATAAGTAAAAGAATGAATATTTTTATGCATGTTTTCCATGAAATATAATTGAATTTTCAAGGGCATCGAAAATCAATGAGAAAATTGTACGCTAATTAAGTAGCCCTTCTTTGCAGAGAATAGATCTTGCATGCAGCCGAAAATAAGTTCTTTCAAAAGCCGACACCCTGAGGTAACTGGATCATTATAGATTTATGCTGCATCACGATTAGTTTACAATACTAGTTAATGTATCTTTTTCGAAACGAGAACGCATTTCGAACTTTTGGTTGACATTTCATGAGCTAGCACATATACTGTAGATGTGCTCGCGCTCCTGCAGGATATACAGGTGGTGGGCAAGGCTGCCCGGTCATCACGGTCCTTCTGACTCCTGTTGGGGTGTTGTTGTTGCTGCTGCTGTTGTTCAAAAACCTAGTTATTTGCTCTGTGGACCAGGGGGTGTGAAGTGTAACACGAAGGTGTGGGCTCGACCGAGCCACACATCTGCTCTCTCCTCCGCCCCGGTCTTCTGGACTCCGTCTTGACACCGGGTTCAGGTAGAGTTGGGGAGAGTGTGGCAGATGCTGCGCAAGTCCAAAATCATTATAAGCCTATTCACGCGCAAGCTACCGTGCCTGCTGCACCTTGCTGTGTAGCACACGGTGGACATCGTCGGAAACGACGCTCGAACTGTCATTTCGTCTATATATATTTACGCAAGCTGAAGTCATCACAACTAAGGCCGTAATTCCTGCTAGAAACCCACTCGGTCAGTGTTTCAAGCCAGTCACTAACAGGACAATGTAAGTACCAGCGACATTATCATCTTGCGTATTCTCTTTGAAAAATTGCACATTCAGTTTTGCCGCAATGACTCACGAAATGTTGAACTGGGCATTGCGTGATAGGGTCGGTCTCGACTTTTATCGACAAAGTCCTCTGGAACATGCATGACACATTCTCCAGACTTTTAAAGCCACCGTTTCACATTTTTAGTTTCGAAAGACAAACCAGAGACAACTGTCAGTCCCTAAGTTATGAAAACAGAACACCCATTACTCTGGTAGGGAACGCCTGGAGTAGTTTGCCGGGTCTGGTATGATCTCTGACGATGTGGCGTCAAAGAAACTGAAAGACTGCTGCGGACGCGGGTGACTGAATACGCTGCGGCAGTGAGAGATGACGCCAAATTTTAGGTGAGGAGGGGACACAGGTTAACATTTCGAATTTGCCAAGAGGCCTCTCAATTGACGCACAACGCCAGTTTTACTTGGTTTGCCATAAAGAACGATATTCTTTTTAAAACAATGTCCAATCAACTGTTTCTTGCTTATTATTTGCCAGTAAGGGCTTTGTTAACAATCACATGGGAAATGCCTTAGGCGTACCTAGGACAGCTCGAACGACAGGATATATGCCTCGTTGGTCTTCTCTTGCAGTAGAAACTTTACGCCCGAGTGGATCCTCGATCCCATCCTTCTGTAGTATTTTATTAGATTAAAAAACAACTCTTTTCCCCGAATTACTGTCAGGAGAAATGAATTCAGACAGTAAGCAAAATAGCAAGGCCAATTTTTGTTCGCAAACAAAAGTGATTAAGATTAACGAATCTACCAGCAAAAACTCACATTTTTACGACCGAATTGTCCGTATAAGAGTAGCAAGAATGTGTCGCTTTCTGCCTAGACCAGAAAGGGAGCACCGTGTTAAGTGGCATGTGGTAGTCAAGGTCCGCAAAATCTGCGTGATTTCTTATCTATGGCCGTACATGTCTGAGACATGCGTTGGCCTGGAGTTTTACCCGACGGCAGACTGCGACAAATTTCATTAGTAGACAGTCCACAAACTCTGATAGGCTACTGCTGTGTGAGGAAGAAAACGGAATAAAGACTTCGTCGAGGTACTCTCCATCATGGATAATCAGTGCACTCCCAGCTGCAGTGATGGCAACAAACGTTAACCGGTAGCGTTTTGGAAGTTGTGCATTGGAAGACTGCTTGCTGATGGAAGAAGTTAATACTGCTTCGGATTATCAGGGCTTCACAATGTGGTTCCCACGGCGTCCCACGTCAAGATATGCGTTCAAAAGCACCTTGATGCGACGACAACCAGATACATTACAAGGGCATGGCTGATTCTGATTTAGGATCCTCATTACAACTTTGCCAAGAAACTATGCAGTCTGACCCATGTTCGCCCGTAGAATTGAACGACACATAGGAAGCTACCTAAGTAGGTGAACATCATCTAGGGGTTTTTTACTGATAAGTCTCTTATCGAGATATAATTGTCCCTAATCCTCCGAGATTTGACAGTCTTGGGCGTGAAAAACCTCATGCAGGGAGTATTCGTCAGAATGCATGTCTTTATCATCCGTCTGAAAACATTTGACCTACCTCGATCACCCAGAGAAATTTTCCTGAAATCATGACGCGCAGACTAAATGACTGATATTTAGTTGATTAACTTAGTAATCCACAGAGCCAAAAGTAACGCGTCCCTCATGAAATTCGCGATTAGCAAAAAGGCTGCAGGACTGAGGAAAAAGGGGGAAAAGCGGGTGCATATAATTATTTCTGCAGGCACTGCCTGTCAGATCCTCCGTTCGTGCGAGATCCTGCGTCAGTTTCTAATATGGTAGGAGGGTCAAAATTCTATTGCCACAAGTTAAGCGAGGCGAGCATCATTAAATGTATTATAATAAAAAAACAACTACTTATAAACAATCAGCAACAGTACACAGAAAAACAACCAAAATCAAGAGGACGATGCCGAGGAGTCAGATGGATTCACGAAACCCATGCGCGGGTAAAAGAGCTCGCAGAAATGCAGGCGAAGATGTATGTTTCACTGTTTTTCCTTGTATGATCAGGAACGTTGTACGTGATGGAAGCAAAGGAAGTAAATGCAGAAAAGCAGGAGCTTATTAAGAAAATTGTAAAATTGGAATATGATCAATATTGCACATGTGATCGTTTTGAGGGTGGATTGGGCATAGAGGACGCAGAAAGTGTTTCAGTGCCTCTGTATACGAACAGTCCAACCCAAAGGGTTGACAATGAAGGGCGTGCAAAATTGAAGCAAATATATTTACAAGTGTAAGCTGAGTAGACGAATATTACTTCGGCCTGTAGTCGTCCGACATTAGAGAAAGAGGAGGAAAGATAAGTGGCGTTGGTGGAAGCGCTAAAAATATGAGTCCACGGAAGACACGTTCGAGAAAATTCAAATGGCCGTCCCCGTGGATCTCACCAACAAGCAACTACAGCCGTGGTTACACATGGCTCAGACGAAGTTCTGATACATGGCTAAGACAAGTATGCTGAGAAGGTATTGAAGAGGGCTCGAAGGGCGAAGGAAAAATAAAGCGACTTTAATGTGCGAGTTAAGCGTAGAATTCCCGATCCGGTGCCTGTGTGTAAGAATTTGACGCAGAGGGACTCTTCTTA